GAGCCGAGGAGGTCTGCCCCCCATCCCTGCTCTCCAGAGCGCTTGTCTGCTGGCCGAGAGCTGCATACCCCATCTCCTCGAATCCTCCATCAGCCAGGGAGACGCGAGCTGCTGTTATTCCTTTCATGGGTTGGAAACAGGCTCAGAGTGGAGGGCTCATAATCATGGTGACAGAGCTTGATCACTGAGTTGGTTCAGCTTGTGGTCCTGCCTCCGGTGACTTGCCCCAGGCCCTGGAGGGATGCAAGGGAGCCAGAACCAAGTCTGATCGCCTGGTTTTGTGGCTCCAAACTGTGCTGGTATCTGCGAGACCACTTGGGTGGGACCCCACGGACTCCCCCCATCAGCGAATTTGCCCCGGAAGCAGTAATGAGAATGAAAGTCTCTCAGTTGTGTTTGACTCTTTGACTCTTTGCGATCCCATGGACTCTACAGTCCATGGAGTTCTCCAGGCCAGAATACTGGAGTGGGTTGCCATTCGCTTCTCCAGGGGATCTTCCCAACCCAGGGATCGAACTCAGGTCTCCTGCATTGCAGGCTGATTCTTCACCAGCTGAGCCACCGGGGAAGCCCGGACTTCTCACTCCCAGCAAGTTTGCCTAGGAAAGAATAAGGATTCTCTGAATGACTGAGCGCCTGACTGTGGAGGAATGGATGGGTCGATGAAGCTGTTCGGTCAGACTCCAGGGATGGGGTAATAACCACTAGTAACTGGGTCCTTTCTTTTTCCTGTCTTCCACATGTGTATTTGCTTGAGAAACAAACAAGAAACACAAAGAGCAAAGTACAGGTCAACTGGCAGCTATTGTTTTAGTAGAAACGACAGGAGTTCTGGGCCCACCACCCTCAACTACTGTAAACGTGACCTGTGGTGGACGGGTTTCATTCGATAAGCAGGACACGGACTCATGGCACATAGAAGGTGTGAGTCCAGGCCAGGAACGGTGGGTAGGGCTGTCATGGGGGTAGAAGAGGGGTTTGGAGGGGCTTCACTGCTGGAAGCTTTGAAAGTCCAGGGGAGGCCCTTGGATGTTGCCCTGTGGACACTGGAGATGCTTAAAGGTTCAGGCAGGGCAGTGATGTGTTTGAGTCTGGCTCTGGGAGGATGAGCCCAGAGGTGGATATTGGAGGTGGGACCTCAGAGAGGGACTTCTTATTGCCTAGGTGCCAGGTGGGCCGGGCTACAAGCTGTACATTCACTAAGTTACCGATGGAGACTAACTAGCTAACCAACCAACCAACCAACCATCCAATCTAATTCTTCCTTTCTTCCTTCAATGAGGGGTATACCTTGCTCCCCTTGGAGTGCCCTTTTGGCATAGTCCACCTGGGGAGTGGATGGCTCACCCCATTTTCTGAGAATCCTCTGGGCTGTGCCCCTTGGTGATTCAACCACAATGCATCCACAAACGGTCAACATCTGCAGGTGTTCTCAGAAGACAGGGCAAGCCAAGTCTTGGAGTAGGCTTTAGGGTCTCCCTAAAGGCTACATGTACATCTTGGTGGTGGTGGTGGTGTTCAGTTGCTAAGTTGTATCTGACTCTTTGCAACCCCACTGACTGCAGCACACCAGGCTTCCCTGTCCTTCACTATCTCCCGGAGTTTGCTCAAACTCATGTCCATTGAGTTGGCGAGGCCATCCAACCATCTCATCCTCTGTCATCCCCTTCTCCTCCTGCCTTCAATCTTTCCCAGCATCGGGGTCTTTTCCAATGACTCAACTTTTCCCATCAGGTGGCCAGAGTATTGGAGTTTCAGCTTTAGTATCAATCCTTCCAACAAGTACTCAGCGTTGATTTCCTTTAGGATTGACTGGTTTGATCTCCTTGCTGTCCAAGGAACTCTCAAGAGTCTTCTTCAATACCACAGCTCAAAAGCATCGATTCTTTGGTGAGCAGCCTTCTTTATGGTCCAACTCTCTGTGTGGTGTGTGCTGTATCAGAAGCCACAGCTGCAGGCTTCAAGTTCCATTGCCCTGTTCAACCACCGTCATCAGAAGTTTTAGCCCTGGCTGGGATCTTGGAGAGCTTTCTTCATTCTGAGGTTTGGTTTTTTCATCCAGAGAAGAAGATTCCAGGTTTATCAATGGTGACAATGATCCCACAGGGGGGATACTCTCATGGCAGAGACAGCTGAGGGTGGGAGTTCCTCTGAATCTCATTTATATGAGGAAACCAAGACCCCAAGTTGTGTGACTTGCCTAAGATCATTCAGCCAGCCTGAAAGGAAGAGAGCCAGGATCCAAATCCTGGTTCGTGTACTCCAGAGCTGGGAGGCTTTCCTGCCAAGCCAACGGGAGACAGCTTGTGTCTCCTGGCTGGGAGCCACCTCCCACCTCCCTGCTCCCCCAATGCATTTGACACAAAAGCTTGTCTCAGGGAGTCTGGCTGGTTTTTCAGCTCCAACCTGGCTCAGAATCCCATCTTGTTTGTTGGATCCATTCCCGGTGAAGAAGTGGGTGGGCTAGTAACAGCAGAAGGAATCTGGGCTCTACCACCCATCCATCTATCCACTCAATTATCCACCCACACACATGCCCATCCTCCCATCCACACACCCTTCCATCCATCCATCCATTTATCCACCCATCCACTTATCCATCCATCCATCCATCCATCCATCCATCCATTTATGCACCCATCCACCTACCCATCCATCCATCTGTCCATTTATCCGCCCATCCATCTATTCATCCAACTACTCATCACATGGCCAGGCATTCATCCATCCATCGTCACCCCTCTCCACTTTTTGAACATCTACCTGCGCTGAGTCCACTCACCTTCACTGCTAAGAGAGGAGATTTACCAGAGAAAATGTAAAAACAAGTACAGAGAACAGCCATCCTTGTGCTTCCAAATTCTAGTTTCACATACACATGGGCTGTTTTTTTAAAATATATATTTTATTTACTTATTAAATTATTATTATTTTTGGTTGCACCAGCTCTTTGATAGGAGGAGGCAATGGCAACCCTCTGCGGTACTCTCACCTGGAAAATCCCATGGATGGAGGAGCCTGATGGGCTGCCGTCTGTGGGGTCGCAAGAGTCGGACACGACTGAAGCGACTCAGCAGCAGCAGCAGCAGCCGCTCTCTGCTGCTGTGCCCAGGCTTTCTCTCGTTGCAGAGAGTGGGGGCTACTCTCTAGCTGCGGTGTGTGGGCTTCTGATCGCTGTGGATTCTTTTGTTGCGGAACACGGGCTCTAGGCGTGCGGGCTCGGTAGGTGCAGTTCGCAGGTGCAGGGGAAGCCTTGCATCAGATTCCTCTCACGTCCTGCCTCCCATGATCTCAACTCACTCTTCCCCAGCAGCCCTTTCTGCAGCAGCCAGCTCCATGGGGTGGCAAATGTCGGCTGTCCCTGGGCCATTCTTTCTGCTCTGAACTTCTCAGCCGTCTGACTCACACACAAGCCTAGAAGCGTGAAGGCCACCCTTGACCGTGGGGCTGGGAGATACAGCCAGTGGGCAGACCTCTCCTTTTCCTTGTCTTGGGGTGACACTTGTGAGTGCCTTCTCAGAGGCCCCCCGCTGGTGGCAGCCTCTGGTGCCCACAGGAGTGCCAGTGTGACAGCCTACTCTCAGACTGGCTAATCCTCCTGCCCACATGCGCGTTTGTTCATTCACTCGCTCATTCATTCATTCGCTCACTCACTCCTCCAGCAGGTTGCAGGTGCCCTCAGGACTGGGACCACCCCTGCCCTCCATCTCTTCGCTGTAGTGACCAGACAGGCATTGTTGCAGAATGACTCTTGGTGAATTAAGTTGAGGAGGCAGGAGAGTGATGAAGAGGGCGGATGCTGGAGCCAGACAGACATAGGTTCAAATCCCGCCTCCCCACTTTGTAGCAGTGAGGTCTCAGGTATGCCATTCCACGTCTCTGAGCCTCAATTTCCCTACTTGCAGAATGGGCACGACAATATCTACTTGAGGAGTCCTGGTAGGGATGTGACAAGACCTCCTACATCCGGCACAGAGCCTGGTATGCGATGAGCTTGTGGTCAGGGTGAGGCATTGGCTGTCACCGATGGTGAGTGGGAGCAAGCAGCCTCAGGCAGTGGGGTTCCTGGGACCTGGCACCTCAATTCTGTTGGCCTGCCTTAGTCCCTGAGGCTACCCAGCACACCCCTCGGCCTTGGAGACTGCCAAGAGAACCAGCAGCCCACGGCTCGTTGGTGGGAACCAAAGAAACAAACATCTCGGTCTCCAGGAGGGGACGGCACCGACCCACCCCGTGGGGTGTTGCTGGCAGGCCCGATGCAGCAATCAAAGGTGTTGTAGGGCAGAGGGCCTCGCCCTGGATGCGAGACATTTCCTTGGGAAAAAGATCGCTCCTTTATATGTATGTCAGTTGGTTATGAAATGAGAACTGTTTAGAGGTTTAAAGAAACCCACCCCGATCTTTGGAAATCTCTGCCCGCCCTGTTCAAGTCCCAACAGCACTTGCCTGCCGACGGCTCATGAGTCAGAGAGGCTGAATTTGTGACTTTCATACCCTCAGAATCGGATTTAAAGATAATGAAAACTTCCCAGTAGTAAAATGCCTGATTTCTGAGGACATGCTAAGGAGCTGGTCACCTGGTGGGTAAATACAGGCTTCCCTCAATGGGCCCAGAAAAGGATCTCCTTCTGGTAGGAATCGTGGTCCCCAAACTGGGGGCATCTTTTCTTGATGTTCTGGGCTGGTTGCCATTCTTAAAGGAACAGAAAGATGGGATTATCTTTTTATCCCCCCCACCCCTTTCTTATCATCAGGTCATTTTAGCTGTCTTTTAGCGAAAGCATCTGTCTCATTTCCTTTGTAGCCCTTACATCATCCCCAAGAGCCAGAGATGCTCATCACCCCATTTTACAGATGGAGAAATCGAGGCTCAGGAAGGGAAACAGCTCACTAGACATTTGGACATGATGCAGCTGGGAGCAGCAGAGCCGGGACTTGGGCCCAGGGAGTCAAACCTTCCCAGGCTCCTGGCTGGGCCTCGGCTACCTGCCAAGTCCTACCGCTCACCAGCCAAGGCTCGGCTGCAGAAGGCTGAGGACGAGGAGTGAAGGGAGAGCTCCGAGGCTGCTGGCTCGTGGGCGGCCTGCTGCCCTGAGGCACAGTCTCAGGAGCTGCCGGTGCCTCGCGGCCCTTGTTCCAAGGCCGAGTGGGGTCACTAGGGGATGCGGCTCCTCCCTGGGCTGCGGAGGGAGTGTCCCAGGGAAGAGGCTCGGGGGCGTGCCTCAGGCTGGGGGGCCTGGGTCCCCCTGGAAGCCTCATCCTGCATACGGCTCCCCGCTGCCTGCCTGACCACGGGCCCGTCCTGCCTGGAGCCAGCCTTCCGAGCCTCGTCTGGCCTGCCTGCACCACCCAGCGCCTTGGACTGCTCCCATCTGTCTCCCTGTGGAGTCTGGCGGGTGTCCCCTGGCCCAGGGCCCAGCTACAGCCTGGGAACCACCGGCCTCCATCCGTGGCTCTTTGTCTGAATAATGAGCCGATCGGTGAGGGTCGGGCGAGGACCTCAGAGAGCACGAGGTCCAGACCTCGTCCCTCATGGGCGGAGAAACTGAGGCACAGAGAGACAAAGGGCAGCCCGGCGGCGGGGCTCACGGAGTCCTGTGGTCTTCCCTGTCGGCTGTCACTGCTGTCCCCGGGGGCCCTCGTCCATGCACTGTGAGTGCTGGAGTGGGCAGGGGCCCCCAGAGGGTCACATGGGTGATTCTGGTTCTGCCGAGGGGTCTGCCAGCCCAGCAAACAAGGGGCCAGGGGCTGGGGGGCGGAAGAAGGAGGGCTTGGGGGCAGCTGCCCACCTTCCCGGGGGCAGCGCCTCTGTTGGTGGCTGTATTTGACGGGCCCTCTGCCCCCCACTGTAGCCCACTCCCTGGCACCCGGAGGGGTCCAACATACGTGTGCACACAATGCCGGGGAGCAGCTCACGGCTCCCCGGGCCTCCATCTGCTGTGTGTGTGGTCCTGGGCAGAGGCCCCAGCAAAGCCATGCCCAGCCTCCTGGCGTGGCCGTGGAGGACTCAACCAGGAGAGGGGCTGGAGACTCCCGCGACCTGCGACTCGGCCCCGTGGAGACGGTCCTGGAAAAGCCACCGTAACAACAGCGAGAGAAGTGGCCGCAGATACAGCGAGTCTCTGCTGGTACAACGCAGCGTCTCAGGGCAGCCCCACGAGACGGGCAGTTTTCCCCATTTCACAGATGAGGACGTGGAGGCCCAGAGAGGTTGAGTAACTTGCCGGAGCTCATACACAGAGTAGGAAGGGCCAGAGCTGCGATGTGAACGCAGACGGTTCCTATTCTTGAGCAGCACCCAAAGCCGCCTACAGGGGTGGGGGCGGTGACGAGAGGGGGACCGTGGGAAAGGTGTGAAGCTGGAGGGCGCAGTGCAAGCCTGAGCCTCTGCGGGGTGGGGGCAGGCCCGCCCCCTCCCTGCATTCCGCCGGCTTTGCTCGGGGCGCACCTCCTTCCCACGGGTTCTGGCTCCAGTCCCAACCCTCCCACTGGCCTGTGCTGGGCGCCACTGAGCCACCGGCCTTCCCCACCTCGGTTTCTCCTCCCTGAAGCGGGCCGAGAGCACCTGCCATGCTGGCTGTTGTGAGGATGGGATGGGATACAGGCGTGGAGGCTCCAGGAAAGCCCAGCGCTCTGGCGGGAGCCCGCTTGGCGGCCTCGAGGCAGGGCTGAGGCTCTGAGCTGCCCCATCCTCGCTCCTGTGCGAATCCCCGTCCTCGGCTAATTGTTGAGCCCCGGGGCGCTGTCTCTGCTGAAGGGCCCGGGCTGACTTGGCCCTCCTGGGGCCTCTCCGAGGTTCAACAGGGGCCAGGAAGGGAGGGTGTGAAGTCCTCCACGCTCCAGCTCTGACTCCCCCTCCCCCAGGCCCCAACGTGCCTTGCTCCTCATCCTGAAGATGGACCTGGTGACCTGCCAGTCTCCTCCAACCTCAAGACTGTTCTGAAACTCAAGTAGAACAGAGGACCCCCACATGGCCACCCCCTCCCAGTCACCTGCCAAGGGCACCCACTCCCCTTTCTTCTCTGTGGGCAGAAAGCACTGCTGGCTAAACCCCCTTTTCTGGGCAACGACCCCCCGTTATCACCAGAAATCCAGGCACTATGATATAGTGAAAAAAAAAAAGTGAAGTGTTTAGTTGCTCAGTCGTGTCTGACTCTGTGTGACCCTATGGACTGTAGCCCACCAGACTCCTCTGTCCATGGGATTCTCCAGGCAAGAATACTGGAGTGGGTAGCCATGCCCTCCACCAGGGGATCTTCCCAACCCAGGGATTGAACCCAGGTCTCCTGCATTGCAGACAGATTCTTTACCATCTGAGCCAGCAGGGAAGCCTCTGTGATGTAGAGTGATTGGTATGTATGGATATGACAATCCTCCTCAATCTCAGAGGAAAGAGAGCCTTAAATGGGGAAGAATAAGTTCAGATTTGGGGAAGAGGGAATTGTCAGGGACAGAATTCTCCAGGGCCGCGCCATCCAACAGAAACCTAAGACCGGCCACAAACGTGAGCTGCTGGTGTGAGGTCACGCTTTCACAAAGGAAGAACAAACGGGAGAAATTTATTTTAATAATATCTTTAATTTTCATAATCTATGCAAATGTGATTGTTTTGGCACTTAATCCATCCAGAACACTCTGAGACACTGTACACTTTTTGTTCACAGAAGGGCTGAGAAGTCCGGCACTTCTCATTCTGGACCCATCACCCTGCACGTGGTCAGCTGTCCTGGGTGGCTGGTCACTGCCCTAGGGGACTGCACAGGTCTGGGGGCGGCGGTGAGCTTGAGACCTGCCTGTATTGCCTGCTGGCTATGCGACTTATCCTTACAGTGCGCCAGGCACTATTCTAAGGGCTTTATGTGTATTAGCTTATCTGACTCATTTCCATCTTTCAGTTGAAAGACAAGGGGGCACAGAGAGGCTAAGTCATTTGGACAAGGTCACCCAGGGATTGGGGGGCAGAGCTGGGACCCGAACCCTGAGTTTTACAAGCGGTGCATACACGATTCCACAATCTGATCACTAATGGATCATTGAGTCAGTTCACAGGGCAGCTCCCTGGAATGGGGCCGGGCCACGACTGTCTGCACACTCTGAGAATTCGCTGCGATTCAGCACACACATTTGTGAGTTGCCTGTATCATGCCAGCCAAAGGGCAGCCTGAGGCAGACCTGGCTTTCTCTCCAGAGACTAGCTTTTCCTTGCCTTCCCACGGAGCCCCGTCCCGCTGCCGGATGTCCACCCCGGGCCCTGGTGGGCTGGGCTCCCCCACCCAGGCCGCGCCCCGAGAACTTGCAAGTTCAGGCTGAGAGCTGTGGGGGCCTGGGCCCTCCTGCAGGTGGGGGAGCCTGGGGCCGGGTCCACAGATGGAATCTTGCCCTGCCTGCTATCGCTGGCAGGGACTTTTGCCTGGGAATCTGAAGGATGCTGCCTTTTCTCTGGGGCCTCCTGGGCCCCTGGAAGTGGGTATGATTCTTAGTGGCCAAGTGGGTTCATGGTCTGGGTTTGTTTTTCCTTAATTACAGTTCTCAGCCTCCTTGCTTTTCTCCCATTCATTGAAAAGCCATTGAAAATTAATTTTTTAAGTTTAATTTTTACCATATTAAGCAACATGCACACATTTGGAGTGCCACTGGGTTCACACTTAGGTCTATTCCTGTGGAACTACCCTAGATCAAGGTCATGCACCATCCCATCCCCTACCAGGCTTCCTGTGACTCCACCCAGTCAACACCCTCCACACCCCGACCCCAGGGAACACCCATCTGGTTCCTGTCACCGTAGATTGCTTCTGCCCGTCTCTGAGCTTCAAATGGGAATGCTTCAGCATGTGGTCATTTCTACTGACTTTGATCAGCACAAGCTTTTTGAGATTTATCCATATTGTTGCAGAGATCCAGGATTTGCTTTTTTTTTTTAATTGTTATGTTTTCTATCTTTGTGAGAATTTACCAGTCAGTCCACTCACCTGTTAGCAGATACATGACTCGTTTCCAATCTTGGGTCTGTGGGCACTGCAGTCAGTGTACGTCCTTGGGGGATACAGGCATCCTTTCTCCCGACTGGAGATTCTGGGCCACAGAGTCGCACTTGTTTATCTTTAGAAGGTAAGGCCCCTCAGTTTCCCCAAGTGGTCTGTTTCCTCTCATTCTCCTGACAACAAGGCTTGAGGGTCGTGTTGCTCCACATTCTTGCCAGCATTTCATATTGCTCATTTTTTTTTTTTTTTGGTCGCACTACACGGCATGAAGGATCTTAGTTCCCCTACCAGGGATGCCCCCTTCGCTGGAAGCGAGGAGTCCCAACCACTGCACCATCATGGAAGTCTCTCACGCATCCTTTTCATTACAGCCGCTCTATTAGATGTGTAGTAAACACGCCTTTCATTGCATTTCTCTGATGACTGAAGGTGTTGCGAAACTTTGTGTCTCTCTCCTAGCCACTTTGCGAAGTACCTGTTGACACCTTTCCGCCACTTGTAAGATTAAGTTGTCTGCCTTTTTCTGACTGACCTTTAGAGACCGTTTTTCTATGCCAGCCACAAGTCTTTCGCTGGAGTTCTGTGTTGTGGTTATATTCTCCCATTCTGTGGTTTGTCTTTTTGGTTTTTTAAAATTAATTAATTTATTTGGCTGCATCAGATCTTTGTTGCATCATGTGGAATCTTGGGTTGTGGTGCACGGATTCCCCAGTTGTGGTGCGTGGACTCGGGAGTTGAGGCATAAGGGCTTGGCTGCTCCAAGGCACGTGGGATCTTAGTTCCCTGACCAAGGATTGACTCATGTCCCCTGCATTGCAAGGCAGATTCTTAACCACTGGACCACCAGGGAAGTCCCCCTTCTTAGTGTTTTAATTGCCCCTTTTTTCCATTTCTTTAGCCTCTTTTTTCTTTTTCAAAGATGACACTTTTTGTTTTGAGATAATTGCAGACTCGCATGCAGTTGTAAGAACACAGAGCGGCTGCATCTCCCTGTCAGTTTCCCCAGTAACGTCTGTAACATCATGTAAAACCACAGTACAGCAGCATGACCAGGATGCGGGCACGGATGAAGTCCATTTACAGAGCGCTCCATCACCAGCAGGATCCCTAGGGCTGCCTTTCTAAGAACATATTGGAGGATAGTGGAAACTAACCATGTTCATTTCTGCTGCACAACAATGGCAATCAGCTATATGTAGGCATATGCCCCTCCCTCCCTCCACCCCCGGCCCCACCATCCTGGTCACCCCAGAGAATTGAACTGAGCCTCTGTGCTAT